TATACTGGTATAACAGTATATTGTATTGACTCTGCCATACCACATTATACTGGTATAACAATATATTGTATTGACTCTGCCATACCAAATTATACTGGTATAACAATATATTGTATTGACTCTGCCATACCAAATTATACTGGTATAACAGTAATTTTACACACCCCTAAAAATACTTCTTTATGGGGGATTCAAAGTGTCTGGCAGGACTGATATTTATGTATATAAGTCGCATATTTGGCTTTTTGCTGATTCGGCAAGGTTACTTCCCTAATCAGAATATTAGTTGTTACTGCAGATTTTGAGGGAATTTTACCAGATTTTCTTGATGTCAATAAACAAATATATACGAAATGAATTATAGTCTGTTGCTCAAATTGGAGGATAAACTGCCAAAATTTAAATATGGCTGAATCTTGATTCAAACAAATGTAACAGAATTGAAACTTAACACTATATTATCAAAAAGGTTACAATTAACTTACTCTGAGGTTATTTTGAGTCTTGGTGATGATTCCCGCACTGACATCAAGGAGCTCCGGATATCCCTTGTTGTTCTTGTGTGGTTATCAACATTCTGTCTAGACGGAGCCACACTTTGAGTTAGTGACATAATCCCAGGTCTGGTCAGCTGTTCACCAGTAAATGTTGTTAGAGACATTTTCAAGCCGTCCCCCCAAGGCATTTGTGGTGGTACAGCATGTTGCCACGCAGCCCCTAGCCCTGGGGCGTGACAATTTGCGATGCCCCGAGATTGAAACGACTGAGTGGGAATACCTGTGATAGGACTAGATTGAGTTGGAACGTTGAAAGTAAAACCTCCAGGATAAGGGTTAACCCCCACCCCTACTGGTAAAGTCTGTGTGGGGAGAGCCTGGAGGTGGGGCACTGCCCCAACAGATGGGCCCTGAGGGTAAGGCAACACTCCTGTTGGTGGGATCTGTGGGCGAGACATTTCTTGAGTTGAGTTTCCAGTGAGGATGTTGGAAGGTGTGCCAATGTTGAAAGGGTTACCAAGACAGGCGTTAATTTGTTGTGGATCCTGGGGGTTGGGTAAAGACTGATTGTAGGAATATGGACTGGCTCCAGAATCCAAAGGAATTGGTAGCCCTGGGATGGGGGTAGGAATGGGCAGCCTCGCCTGCTGGTTATAGTACTGAAAGGGTGAGTATGACTCTGATACAGGGTGCTGTGCCCCAGCTGCTTGATTCACATTTCCAAGGTAGTTATTGTTGGAGAATACGCCAAAATTTGGATTAGATACCATGGTTACTCCAGGTGGATCCATATACACCATGCCTGAAATCAGATATGGAAAATAGTCAATAGGAATTTTAAACATACCTATATCATGTGTTTGCAAGAAAAAATATTTTTACAGAGAAGAAATATTCCCTTTAACAAAAGTTTAATTATTGTGAAGCTATTTCACATAGGGTTGTTTATCAATGAGTCTAGGATGTACATTATAATGACGGCGACTTGTGGTCATAAACATAAAAAAAGGCCGAGAAAATAATGAGGATCGATATTGTGAGTTCCTTTCTACATTTGAAAGTAGGGCATGATCTTCTTCTTGCTTTTGAAGTTGTTTCCTTTATCACTTATATCATGTGACATTGAGTGATGGTGATGGCATAGCTATATATAGGAGGTCAGCTCTCTCAGCTCTGGGCTAAAAACATGCAGTGCTCAAGTGGTTTGGATCGGCCAAAAATGACTGGAAAGAGACATGGATGTCATGTAATGGGAGAAAGAGGCACCCAGATCTGGAGAACTGGTACCTGGAGAAGTGAGGCTGGAGCTTTCAATTTTTCCCAACTTTGACTGGAACTACTAAGGGAGCAAAATGAACAAAATGGTCATGACAGACTTGATAATATTACAATGGTCAAATCTAAGCAAAGAAACAGCAAGAGTGGTGACAAATGGGACACTACAAACTCGGTTATAATTCCTCTATTCACACAGAAGGAAAAGCTTTTAAAAGATATACCTCTATTTCCCCTTTTCGGCCCCAACCCTCAGCCCCAAAGGGAGGCCACAGCCTCAGTTTATACAAAATTGAGTCCACTTTCCCTAAGCATATCTGCTTCTTGACCCCCTTATCCGGAAGGGGGTCAATGCTTTACAAAGACTGGCAACAAGTAAGAATGCTCCAGGTCACATTTGGTTTAAATCCTTTCATTTGTGCAAAAGGAACACTGACACCAGACTTGGACATTTTGACAGATAGATTTGTCTGGTGTGGGGCCAGAGCGCACTACTATAAGAAAAGTGGAATTCTCCGACACTGATTGGTGTCTGAGAGTTTTGAGGTGCTGACAGCAAAAATCGACTATGACACAACATATATCGATAAATGGATTATTGATCCAAATCCGCTCTTATTATCACCAACAGCTGCTAAATTCCGTCAGTAGAGTCCTCGGTTTTTAAATGTTCCAAACTCACAAGAGTGAACGCCATTTTTGTAGGTCATGGGAGTGACTATAAACAACAAACTGTACCAAAAACGGATATATCATTCTTGTTTAAAAAAATTACGGAGCACATCTTTGTGTTGATTAGTCACTCCCATGACATACAAAAATTGTGTTTGCTCAGGTGACAAATTTCGAACAATTGAAAACCGTGGACACTACTGACAGAATTTAGCAGATGTTGGTGATAATAGAGCAGATTTGGATTAATAAATAATCCATCAATATTTATATATGAGGTACGGTAGTCTAGTGGTAGGAAGCCAGGCTCGTGACTGAGGGTTGCAGGTTTGAGTCACGTCATGTGTTGTATCCTTGAACAAGATAATTTACTCCGCTTGTTCCAGTCTACTCAGCTGTAAATGAATATGTGGTTGGGCAGTGCTAGAATGTAGAATGCTAGATGTGAGCGACAAAATGGCAGCACTGGCTGTATGCTCCCCAGGGAGTTGAGAAAGATATTGGCTCACTCAGGTTGCAAATTAAGGCCCTTTAACCAGGGATAATAGTTTGTAAACTGCTTTGAGACGACCTACAAACTAGGTTATGATAAGGTGGTATATAAGAACCTTGAATTATTATTATTATTATTGTGTCATAGTCATTTTTTGTTGTCAGCACCTCAAAACTCTCCGACATCAAACAACTGTAGAAGTGCGTTCTGGCCCCACAACAGACATCCTATCTGTCAAAATGTCCAAGTCTGGTGTCAGGGTCAGAGGAAACTCAGGCTACTTTATTANGACATTTTGACAGATAGATTTGTCTGGTGTGGGGCCAGAGCGCACTGCTATAAGAAAAGTGGAATTCTTCGACACTGATTGGTGTCCTAGAGTTTTGAGGTGCTGACAACAGACATCCTATCTGTCAAAATGTCCAAGCCTGGTGTCAGGGCCAGAGGAAACTCAGGCTACTTTATTATAATTTATATTTAATAATAATATATAATTGAGTTTTTATATGAAAATCTTTCATTTCACCAAATCACCGGTTTGGTTATCACTTCAATCGATGTGCACAAGATAATTACGACCAGTGCTGGTGTTTTTGTTTACATTGACCCTATATATGTATACTTTCAGTAGTCATTATTCAATACATAGCCACATTTAGAGCTATATAACAGTTACAGCCAGATTTGCCGGTCACGGGTGCTCCAGTACCCGACATGTAAAATTACTCTGAACGCCTTAGTTTAGGTCAAATTATAGCTGTAACAAATGCTCAGGTCCCTGTGGATACAACTATCTTTAGACTGTATGTGTTTATAACTTAATTATTGTACAGCTATTTTGACAGATTTTACTTAGTCAAGTGTACCTGTCCTTGAGCTCGTTTTCTTCTGTAATATATGTATATATAAATACTCGGATACGTAACATATGCTCGAGGGATGAAACTTGACAGTAGGCTATACGCTTTAAACATTTCACGATTCCTGGTTATGTCGCAATCAGGTAAATCGCAGAAATTCAATGGTAGGTACTCGACTTCAACTGCAATCTCCCCAATTAGGAACAAGGGACCAGCCTACGGACAACTCTGGAGCAAGCCATTGTTCCTTACCCCAAAATATCCCGCGAATTTTATATCATTATTACAATGTTGATGTTTTCATCAGCGCTGTTTGTTAATACAACATGATGTTTTAACGTAAACAGCACGTGGATTAAGCCTACTTTCGAGAACCTTTTTCCAAAACAAAGTCTGCGCGACCCGTTTACGGCTTTCTGCTTCCTTTGTGGTGGTGGTAGGTAAATCTTGTACCCCGCTCCCGCTCCCGTACCAGGCATATAGAGATATTTTAATATCTCATTAATNTTAGAAATTAAGTGAAATAATAAAGAAAAGTACTTTAACATAAAAATAACAACGCTAAAAGCCAGCGTAATGGATTGGCGTAATGTCCTTTCAAAATCGGCTACGGAAACCCACACGTGATCCATTATTTTTAATATACGGCAGCCCCAAAGGCAAAGTATACCCAATAGCGTGTGCCTAGGCCTAGATCCGTTAGATTTAGATAAAAATAGATCTGTGTCATACAGCTTAGCTTGATCCGATAACAAAATAAAATGACACTGTTTAAATATGCATTTGAATACAGACCCCCTACTAATTATAATTAATAAATAATGAAATATATTTACTCCGTTATATCACGGACTTAGATATCTAATCTAATTCCGTGGTTATAATAAATGAGGTAAAGCTTCGTTGTACCACGGAATTAGATTAGAATCTAAGTCCGTGGTTGTACGTTTTTTCTAATTGATTTTCAAACTGAAGAACATTTTTCAAGTTTTGGTCTTTTATGTGTGGTTAATTTATTTTTAGGTTGCGTTTCAAAAAGCTTAGTGATTTATTTGCATTTGGTGTGATGTTGACAGAGACGTAATATATACGTCTCTGATGTTGATAATGTGTTTGTCCCACTTTTATAAAGTTGTTCTTGAGTGTGATACGTAGATATTTGTTTGAAGTTACGCATTCTATAGTTTGTGGTCATGGAGTGTGTTTTGTGTTTAAATTGTGTGCGTTTTGGTAATATAGTGAGTATGGTGCATTTTTCTGGGTTGGATTTCATGAGTCAGCTGTTCTCTTCCCATTTACTAGCTGCGTTCAATTCTAAACCTTTTTGTCGTTTTATTTTATCGTCTTTATTATTGATCACAGCAGGGATCTGATAATTTGTTACAGCTATATTTGGACCTAAACTAAGGTGTTCAGAGTAATTTTACATGTTTTAAGGGTTTAGATCGATTTTCGGTAAAAATGCCACCCAAGGCTTATATATACACTGTGTATAAGAGGAGGGAGGAAAGCTCTCGAAAATCGNTGATAATGTGTTTGTCCCACTTTTATAAAGTTGTTCTTGAGTGTGAAACCTAGATATTTGTTTGAAGTTACGCATTCTATAGTTTGTGGTCATGGAGTGTGTTTTGTGTTTAAATTGTGTGCGTTTTGGTAATATAGTGAGTATGGTGCATTTTTCTGGGTGGGATTTCATGAGCCAGCTGTCCTCTTCCCATTTACTAGCTGCGTTCACGTCTAAACCTGTTTGTCGTTTTATTGTATCGTCTTTATTATTGATCACAGGGACCTGATAATTTGTTACAGCTATATTTGGACCTAAACTAAGGTGTTCAGAGTAATTTTACATGTTTTAAGGGTTTAGATCGATTTTCGGTAAAAATGCCACCCAAGGCTTATATATACACTGTGTATACGAGAAGGGAGGAAAGCTCTCGAAAATCGACACCACCTAACTTTCTTGCATAAAAAAACACATTTTTTAGTTGATATACGAAAAAATGCTTGGTACCGTTGGAAAGATGGATACTTTTTCTTTTAGAAACCTCTTATATGCACATAACATGTATTCTCCTTCCGCGGACATGATATCCGTTTCCTTAAAAAGCACAAGCGATTACCTAGTTTCAAAGTTTTTCGCAGTCATAGAGCCACTTTTTGTATATAGTTGTGTTTCGCAAGATCTTGATGTGCGGAAGCCGTGTTGTAGGTCGTGCAGTATTTTGTTGTCTTCTAAGTGTTTCATAGTTGCACTTGCGATGATGTGTTCTAGAAGTTGGCATGCGATGCATGTAAGTGATATTGGTCTGTAGTTTGTTGGGTTGTATTTGTCTCCTTTTTTTGTATATGGGGTTTACGTTGGCGTGTTTCCAGTACTTGTCACTGGGTAATATTCCTGTATTGAGTTATGCTTGGAATATTTTTGTTAGTATTGGTGCTGTGATGTCCTTAAGAGCTTTCAGTATTCTGCCGTGGATATGAACTCTGGACCTGTTGCTTTGTGTGGGTAAATGTTATTGAGTAGTTCATCGACTCCTTGGCATGTTATGTGTATATCGGGCATGTGTGGATGAGGTGATATTCCCATGTCATGTATTGTTGTGCTCTGTTCTGTAATGAAGGCTTCTCGGAACTGTTCATTTAGTATGTTTGCCTTTGTTTGTGCCAATTGTGGATATGTTGTGAGGTGCCCGTTTTGACGTAGTGCTATGATGTATGTGTTTTCTTTTTTGTGGTTTGAATGAACGAGAAGAGTTTTTTAGGGATGAGTTTGTTCCTTGTCTTCGGGTTCGCCTATTGGTTGATCTGTGATCATCTTCTCAATGTACTGAAGATATCCATTTTTTTCATTGCACGTACGCTAATTTGTACGCAGTCAGAGTTTACTAAGCTGAGGAAAGGAGGAATGTAAATATATATGTATGTCTTAATTAAACATCAAGCTGCGCTGTTTTTTTAGGCCCCTGACCTATTCTAATTGCTTTCCGTCCGTCGTCGTCCGTCGTGCGTCGTGCGTAAACTTTTTACATTTTCAACTTCTTCTCAAGAACCCAGTGGATGGATTTTTTTCAAACTTGGTCAGACTCATCCTTGGTAGATGGGGCTACAAAATTGTAAAATTGGGATTCCTACCCCAACCCTGGGGCCAAAAATCTTCTTCTCCAGACTCAGAGGTACTACACTCATTTTCTCTACATGGAAAGAAAGATAATCAGGGTCTTTACTTAAATTGTAAATTTCAGGACCCCCGAGCTATCCGTTCTCCCTTGAGGAGGGGGTAAAGTTTATTATTATACCTCTACTTATTTTACACTATACAAAAGTAACCACATAAACAAGCTATTTCCCCTATAACTGCATGCCAGGGAAATAGTTCGTCTGGAGGGGTGCGATAGTTTTGAAACTATTTCCCTCGGAAAATGCGGGAAATTGAGTGACGTCGTAGGCGGGGCCTGACCGAATATTGACCAATCAGCGCAATCGAATGACGTCGGCAATATCCGGCCAGCGGAGCCGGTACTTTCTGGACCGACCTTCACCTCGCATTGTTGTTGACAGACGACAACAGAAATGGCGACCCCCAGGTTTTCTGTGTTGGACGAGAGCGAGTTGTCGGACATATTGGAGGCAAAAGACAGTTGGCTTATTTTCAAGCAAAAACTGTGATTTATTGTTAATTGTACATGTGATATCCTTTATTTCATGTTATTGCGAAAACTGTTTTTTTCTGATGTTGATTCCCAAGAAAATTTTAGTTTTGTTAATAAGGTGTCCCAACTGTTGATTTTTTTTGTCTAATAATATTTAGAATATTGTAAGGGAGTGTTTGTATCGGTATAATAAAACAGTTGAAGTATGGGTATTTAGGGATAAAGCAAGTTTATGATCCCCCTCGTCCAGGACTATTTCCCTCGACTTCGCCTCGGGAAATAGTCCTGGCCTCGGGGGATCATAAACTTGCTATATCCCTCATACCCATACTTTAACTGTTTTAAAACTATAGTTTATATAGGGAAATAACACTTTTGGGTATATTTTGACAACTTTCTGTAGGAAATTATTTTTACTTGGTGATAGTTGTCCTTGGAGGAAGATAGTTTCAAATTGTAAAATTGAGATTCCTACCCCAACCCCTGGGGCCAGGGCGAGGCCGCAAAGGGAAAATTAACCAATATTTCAAAAATCTTCTTCTCCAGACTCAGAGCTACTATAGTCATTTTCTCTACATGGAAAGAAAGATCATCAGGGGCTTTACTTAAATAGTAAATTTCAGGACCCTGAGCTATTTGTTCTCCTTTGGGGAGGGGGTAAAGTTTACTATAGTTTATATAGGGAAATAACACTTTTGGGTATATTTTGACAACTTTTTGTAGGAATTTATTTTTACTTGGTGAGAATTATCCTTGGAG